ACAGACACACACAGACACACACACGTACACACAGACACAGACACACACAGACACACAGACACACACACAGACACACAGACACACACACACACAGACACTCAAAAATAAACAAAGAGAGAGACATTTCCTTTACTCATCATTCAAGCAATATATTAAAGAAGTTGATAATGTCAACAGTTGACAATTAAGATGTACAAGCAGAAATCTACATGTGATTTCTGTTTCATGATTTCCAAACATGGCCTGTGAGTTTGTACAGACCATCAGAAGTAAACTTAAGCAGGCTTATCAGCATGGCTATTACCCAGTAACCACCTTTCTGTCCCTATTACATACTCACGACAAAATGTGGAACAGTGTTTACTACAACATTGGGTGTGTGTGTGTGTGTGTGTGTGTGTGTGATGTAGGCGCCCACTTCTGAGGGGATGAGTAAGTCAGTAGGCTGATTACACCTCCCAGCTATCTACCTCCATCTGGTAACAGTCACTCACCTTGAGCACACCTCTGATGTGGGAAGTCAACCTTCCCCATCTGTGTGTCCTTTACATTCTTCATCTTGAGGATGACCTCTGGCCTGGGATACCCTGTGGATTAGAAAAATACTGGACTGTGTGCACATATCTTCTGGGGCTTTCGAGGGTATCCAATGACCTCTGCATGGGCTAAGCACACAGTTCAACATCATGTGCTGTGCAGAAAGTACTATTTAAACGGTGCCCAAAGGAGTGAACAGGAACAAGTAAGAAACATAACAGACTTGTCCCCCAAGTTCTGCAAAAAGAATATGAGGCCCACCCTGGATACCCGGCCAGCAGTGCTCACCCACTGCCAAGAGGTGGCTGTAGATCTCCAGCATCACGTCCTGGTACAGGCGTCTCTGGGCAGAGTCCAGGCGCCGCCACTCCTCCTGGCTGAAGTCCACAGCCACATCCTCGAAGGACATCCACCTCTGTAACAACATGCTCACTGTGAACTATACCTTGAAACATACACTAAATAGACACATGTGTTTAGTGAACCCCCCCCATCATACCATTAGACTTCCCACAAAAGCAAGGATTTCACATTTTATGTTCAGGCATAAAGAAGTATATAAATACCCTGCCGTGTACTGTGTCTCACCCACTCCCACCCCAAGGAGGACAGAACTTCTCCACTAAGACTGTGCAGGCTCACAGCTACTAAGCTACATTCCGCTTGTCTAGAGTGGTGTGGGGTTCCTGGGGTTCAACATTACAGCACGAGCTCCATTGCTGTGAGAAAACTCAGACTGGTAAAGACTCAGCGTGGGCTAAAAAGGACCACTTTACACATATACACTGAGAAAACGCTGGGAGGGACAAACTAAGGAGCAGCTGTCATGCTCCATAGAACACAGCAGCTTAAAGTGTAACTGAGATGCTCAAAATACAACAGAACACCGTTCTCCAGGACAACAAAAAGAGAGAGAGAGTGAAGGAGGAGAGGTAGGGAAATCCTCAGTGAATTTAGGGAGCAACAGAGGGCTCTATTGGAGGTCTAAAGACCCCTTCCAGAAGTAATAAAAACCTATCAGATAGACACAACTGGGCACAGGTGGGGTGTGATGTGCGATTATGGGGATACAGCTTTCATAAATCTCCAACTACGATGGGGGTGTCAGTGACACAACTGTCCAAATTCCTCATGCCTATGGAGGCCACCCCTCATCTGTGCTCCAAACAGTAAGCCAAAAATCTCTCTCTGGTTCCACAAGCTAAACATGGATGCACCTACCTCTTTGACCTACTTCTTACCTCTGTCTGGGTTGAACAGGAACAAGACTCCCTAAGGAGTCATAGATGGTAAACCTAAACCCAAGAAGCAGTACAGTGAACACGTCACGAAAAGATGAGGAACTCTGGGATTTCAGCTGTCCAGGATCTGTTCTTAGATGGAGGATCAAGGTTGTCCCAGGAACAGAGTTCATAGTCTGATACTTCCAAAGTCTCCACTCTAGTTCTGGAAAATGGAACCAAAGTTGCCTCTCCTCACCTCACATGACCCAAGCTGCTCCTCTGTTGCCAGTCTCTGGGGCTTCTGGCAGAACTTCACGTCGGCTGCCATTTCATCAGGATTCAGGTGAGCATGTGGAGCCTTTGAGTAGAGCTGACAGGCATAACTCAGCTTCCTTGTGCTAGAAAATCAGCAGCACGAATGTCTCGGACTGACCCAGGAATCTACGAAGACACCAGAAGGTCCTGAAAAGTCAATGACCGGGGGACACTCAGCCAACATTGCACATGAAGTTTTGAGGGCCTACCTGACGGGTACCACAGACACATCGACTAGTAGTTGACACAGATTCGAGAAAGCCCAACTCTTTCTTTTTTTGTTTGTTTACTTTTTTTCCTGTGTAGTCCTGGCTGTCCTGGACTCACTCTTTCTTTTTTTGTTTGTTTACTTTTTTTCCTGTGTAGTCCTGGCTGTCCTAGAACTCACTCTGTAGACCAGGCTGGCCTTAAACTCAAAGATCCGCCTGCCTCTGCCTCCCAAGTGCTGGGATTAAAGGCGTGTGCCACCACTGCCCGGCCCCATTCTTACTTTTATGAAGATCCAGGAAACAAACAAAAGACCATGATTGTGAACGAATGGTTAGGAAGAATTCATAGGAGAGTCTCCCACGCTTTAACTGTGAGAAGAGACAATATTAAGCAACAAAGGGAGATGTCTGTGTCCCACAGGCATTAGGAATCAGCAAGTCCTTAGCACTTGCCGGGCAGTAAAGACAACAGACATAAAGAATACTCTTCCTGTTTAACGAGGTTCTAATCTACTACAAGCCTCTATCTAGCCCATGCTGAGTCTATGTTTGCTATTTTACAAGTCTGAATGCTCGCATCCCTGAGCACTCACACCACTGAGCACTCACACCCCTGAGCACTCACACCACTGAGCACTCACACCCCTGAGCACTCACACCACTGAGCACTCACACCACTGAGCACTCACATCACTGAGCACTCACA